GGCCGTGGTTTAGCCACTCGCCGCTTTCGTTCCGTTTGCGCGTTTCATTACTTCGAGAAATATAGAAACTGCGTCGTGAGAAACATCCGTGCAGGGGTGAAGCGGGTATATCAAATGCGTCCATCCATATTCCCCTTATTACTGACTTCAACGCAGACACAACCCCTTCCTACGCTCGCTCTTGCAGACACCTTAGCACCGCTCATATTTTGGAGCGATGCCATTCAGTCACTCCCTTTTTTTTTCAACAATACATCTCCTACTAATATTTCAATAAATATTAGTCTTTCGAACAAGCTCTACCCACAATGTTATGCAGACACTCATCTTGACTATGGCAGATCGCCCTCAATATTCTGTGGACCAATTGAGTGCACCGCGAGCGTGTTTCCTGCCTTGTAAACTTTTCTCTAAACCCAACGCGAGAGGGAGCTATGGGGTGATGCCCTCGGCGATGGCCTTCCGGGGTTCCTTCGAAAACGCGTTCGATACATCGCCGGTGTCAACCTAGGGATCCATGACTATATAGGTCTTTCTTCCGTGCTCCTCCCTCAATTGAAATCAATAATTAGGATCTTTTACTTTCTCACGTTTTACATGCCGAAATCACAATATGAAAACGAGGCATGCCGTAATGGGTGACCATTGGATTGCTTTAGACCTCCTGAAGTTCTTCGCACCTCGATCGAAATACACTGGTGTTTATGCATTTCGCAGCCATCGAAATGTTGGCGCCTTGGCAGGAAATGGAACCAACGTACTCAAGCTCAGCAGCGCGAAACGTTACCTGCTAGGCTGCCATTGCCGATGCACTCATCATACTCTTTTTCGAGCTGCTAGATACATGTGCACTTGACACTTACCTGGAACAAGAGTGTGCCTGTCAGAGTTAAGTGAGCATGTTTTCAATGACGTTCTTAACGACGCTCTGAAACAGGCATTGAACACCGGCATTCTTATAATGAAAATGTTTGGAAACAACGCTATCAAGTGAACGCGTTTCATGAAACCAATTATCTGAGTAAAAGGCACACGCCCGTTTCGTGTAGGTGCTATATGCAATCGTGAATTTATGAGGGGGCGGAAAATCCCTATACCTCCCATGTATTCGTTCTCCGCAGCTACAGCGCCGCTTTGGACACTGTCGGTTGCCGGGAATCCTACTAGAAATAGTTCACGAACAGAAAATTTCTTTCATGACGTCACTGGTGACGTCCCAAAAATAGAGAGGAGGAGAGTTGCCATGGAAACCTTCCTTTCCCACTCCACATACAAGTGGAATGCGCTTGTGCCTTCTTATAAGATCCACTGGCAGATTGGGCGATCTGGACATTCGTAAAATTTGGTTAATCATTCTTTTCAATTTTCTTCATGTTTTTTGAAGAGGCGAAAGCTAAGCTGACTAATTTATCAGTAAGACAAAGCTCTATCAGCACAAATAAAATGACCTTTTGTTCGCACGCTTTGTACAGCAGATCCCATGTACAGTATAGAATCGATGATATGCAAAGCACAAATGAGAAAGGGTGATATGTCATTTTAAAATCAGCATAATGCTACGAGGTGGAGGTAAATGATGCCGTAAATCGTGCCGTACATGACTTCCGTGTCATGATTATAATGTTTGGATGTGTCCTACCTTCGTCATCTATTCACGTTACGTGATACCAAATTTAGTATATGTGGAGCTAGCAAAACGACCGCGAACACGCTATGAACGTGGTATGTTGTCATGTTCTTACATGACACGCGTGTCAGGATTATCGTTTTTGCACCAATCATATACGTTCGTTATCCATTGACGTCACTTGACAATTAATTCGGTATATGTGGAGCTAGCGAAACGGCCGCGAGCGCATCATGAAGGGCCCAATATACTCCTATGTAGCGTTGACACACGCGCACGCTCAGCAAAGCGACGCTATGTTAGCGAAACGCGAGCACTCTATAGTCTGACGCCAGGCGCGACCAGCATCCAGTCGGCGCAGCCCGACGGAAACAGGTGCGAAATGCGACACTGCTGCACTTCACACCGATGCGTTACCCAGACAACACTGCGTCTCCCTCTTTTCGTGACGGAGGGACGCTGGACGCGCTGAAACGCGCATTCGTCAAAGCAACGCAGTGAGACGCGCGTCTGCGAGTATATGGCAGGACCGGCGCCTGGCGTCGCAACGCCAGCGTGACGAGTCGAAACGAACGCCGGCGAGCACGTGCACCGCGTCACGTCGAAATGACTGTGGCATGTAGTCATGTTCCCCCATGACACGCATCTCATTATTATCATATTTGCACCAGTCACATACCTTCGTGATCCATTGACGTCACGTAATACCAAATTAGGCTGGTGTGAAGCTAGCGAAACGGCCGCGAGCACATAATGAGTGTGGCATGTAGTCATGTTGGTACATGACACACATCTCATCTTTTTCACGTATGCACCAATATCATACTTTCGTCATCTATTCACGCCCCGTAATATCAAATTTGGTATAAATGAAGCTAGTGAAACGGCCGGCAGCGCATCATTAGCGTGGCATGTAGTCATGTTCTTACATGACACGCATCTCATGATGATCATGTTTGCACCAGTCACATACATTTGTCATCTACTCATGTACCGTAATACCAAAATCGGCATATGTGACGCTAGCGAAACAGCCACGAGCGCATTATGAGCTAGGCATGTAGTAATGTTGCTACCTGACACGCGTGCCATGATTTTCATGTTAGGGTCTGTCACTTGTGTTCGCCATGCAATCATGTCATGTCATACCAGTTTTGCAACATGTGATATGTGAACGAAACCACAACAAGAGCTGCAGGATCAAGAAATTTAAATCATGACCTTCATGACATCCATGTCATAATTTTCATGTGATAACTAGTCAAATATGTTTTTCATACAGCCATGTTATGCCATACCAAGTTTGGTATTGATACCATTGTCGAAACAGTCAGAAGAGCTAAAGTCATAGGCGGCTAGATAGATAGATAGATAGATAGATAGATAGATAGATAGATAGATAGATAGATAGATAGATAGATAGATAGATAGATAGATAGATAGATAGATAGATAGATAGATAGATAGATAGATAGATAGATAGATAGATAGATAGATAGATAGATAGATAGATAGATAGATAGATAGGTAGATAGATAGGTAGATAGATAGATAGATAGATAGATAGATAGATAGATAGATAGATAGATAGATAGATAGATAGATAGATAGATAGATAGATAGATAGATAGATAGATAGATAGATAGATAGATAGATAGACAGATAGATAGATAGATACGCTTAAAGTCACCGAATTTCGCTAATGCTGCGCAATTAAAACGTACACACAGTAGCATGAAAGTGTCAGTCTATAAAAGCAGCTTCAACTTACAATTGGCATACGCACATTATGAGCAAACGTTGAACTCATAAAATGCAAACGAACGCAAAAATTGTCAACAATCGCTAGTAGGAGACGTCGTTTTTGACTCAATCACGTTTAGCGATCTGGGAGCGCGGAAAGAACTGAGAACGTGAATACCAAGCGAGACTGAAGTTTAGAAGCACGGGAAGGCTTGAAGCGATCAGAAGTTTTTCGAGAAGGAACGTCGCTAGAAACAGTGTTTCGGCAAGATGACTTGTCTTCGTCAGAGCGACAGCGTTGACAAAGAAACGTTCGTTTGTTAAAACGCTGGCTCCACGAAATTCTCTAATTAGTTTCAGAAGCATTTAGTTCATCACCTGTACTTAGTGACACAATTAGAAGGCTCACAAATTTTCAAACTGCTGTTAGAAGAATTTCGTGAGCAGGAACCAACCTATGTTTCCAGGCATCATTTGAACTAAACGCAAGAAAGTAAAAGGAACTAAAGTCTAGTAGTCGAGCCAACTCGAATTCAAGCATTTCAAGAAACGTATTTTCCCGACAGGAGCTTGGCTGCTGTCTTCACCAATTAGTCAAGCGACACTGAACATCTTTCAACCCAGTCAGGCTTGCAGAAGGCTGGGTTTAATCGCGTGTACTCAAGCAAAATCAATACCTGCCCAAATATTTGGTCCGAATTCTGGTGCTCACCTGTTGCTTTTAGGGAACGATGAAGAACATTCGCAGTACTAGACATCCCTGGTAAGCACACTACAGAGCCGCGTAAACATGTGTTGCCCGATCAAACCATCTTCGACGAATGCTTGGTTGACTTGTTAGGCGTAGCTCACAGTGGCTTCCGTTCTCTGCCCGCCACAACTTGCTGTCTTTATCTTTCCCCTAGTTGGCACGCCAGCCGTGCGAGATAACTGAGCACGATCCAGCTTCTAACATCGCTGAGCGAGGAGCGAGAAGGAGCGAAGGGAAGTGCTTCGAACGCTAGTTAATCATTTCCCGTGCTTCACCTGATTTAAAAATTCAAAAAATAAGAAATAAGAAAAGTCATAAACAAAGAGTGTTTTTCAAGGGGGTATAAAATTTTTCTCATTTGTAAATACTTGTGAAAGTCGATAAATACGAGCGTTCACATCAACCTCACTTCGTTCAACCGGGTCTTAGAATGCCCAGCAAGCGCTGCGAGGGTGCATGTTCCTTGAAACTGAAACTAGCGCTCAGTTTCGGGGCCTGACTTTATCATAAAACAACTACAGTCGCGTGATATGCTGCGCTCGGTCATGATTTTTATGCACAGGGGCGTGACATTCGAAGTGGCATGTTAAATTCACGGATGGCGATTTCGTCGGTGACACTGCATGATAGCACCTAGGTTTGTGGCAACCACGAAACGCAGCAGGTTTCGGTGGGAGCTCTGCTGCGATTGCTCAGGCGCCCACCGCCAGTTCAGCACCATGAATTTTTTTTTCTTGACGTCTATTTTTCAGGCAAGTCGACAGCAGGAGCAAGTAAGCAAGCAATAAGTAAACCGGCAATGCTAGATAAGTGGCTTTGCGATGGAAAGTGTTTGGTATAAGAACATGCATTCTCAAATGGGATAACATTTTGGTAACGCTGATGTTGTACGTGAGTTTATTTACATTTTCTTCCGACAACACAAAAGAGGAGCTGGTCTGTGAAGGCGTTATAATGTATCAAGTTCAATGACAACAGCATTTTTTCGCGCGTGAACGCATGCGCATCAAATTGTGTTTCTTGCAAGGGAAGAAAACGGATGCTTCTCGTCAGTAGAAACAAAGAATACAAGAAATCCTTGCACTAATCGTCAAAGAGCTTTTACGACATTCTTAGTGTTCATTCGCATGAAGTAAGCACTTCGACTCGTGATTGGCAGACTATAATCAGAGATAGTCACAAGAGTCGAGATTCGTGGTAATTAATAAGTTTGCGAGTCAAAGGCGACCCTTCCTGGTACTGGCAGGGTCGAGTCGGCGCTCGTCGTGGAAACGTCTTGGAGTTGTGTCTCGACGTGCTGGGGCACTTCTGGATATTTTTTGTTCCTTGTGGCACAATACATCGTAGAGCGTCTAGCCACGACGGACAGCAGAGTCGGCTGATCCGACGACGTGGAAGACGTCATGCCGATGCCTCCGCCGGCGTCTGTGCTCCGTTTCTGGAGAAGGCTCCGAGGGAAAACTCGTCGTGGCGTCTTGTTCCAGGAAAGCATCGTCGGGCTGTTGCATGCGGCAGGTGCAGCAGCGTGACAGGAAGATCAGTAAACACAACGCCGAAGACCCCACGCCGCCTACGGCTGTGATAACGCCGACGAACACGGCGACCTTCTTAGAAAACGGATAGCTCTCAAATGAGCCATCATCGGCCGAAGATTCGTTGCGGTTCGCCGTGGGAGACTCAGTCGGCCTTATCCTCTCGGCCACGGGAACCGCCACGTCGGACAAGACTTGAAAGCCGCACACGGACAGTTCTAGAGGCGTGGATGACAAGAGGTGGACGAGGACGTAGCTTCCGCGAAGCGTCTTCACGCACGGGAGGTAGAGAGATTTGTAAGGTAGCGTTCCCGTGTACTCGGAGCATACTGGATTCTTCGCCAGCTCCATGAAGCTCTCTCCAACCCTCGCGTCGACGAATACGTTTGTGGTGTTAGCTTGTATGCCAAAATCGAAGCGCAAAACTTGCACCTGGTATAACGCGGTGAGGTCGACGTACCAGAAGTGGGTCTTACCGCGCTTGAAAACGGTGCACTTGGTTCCGCCGTAGCCATCGGTGGGAAGAGTCGCATTGTTGGTGTTGGAGATGCTTGAAGTCGTCGAGGTAGTGCGCAAGAGCTTGCCCTTGGCGACGTCGGTTACGCAGAACGGCAGTGCAGCGGGCAGCCAAGTGCCGTTAGAGTGACACGTCCTGCGATGAATACCCAGGAGGTCGTAACCGGGGTCGCATACGTAGTCTACGGTCGTCCCGTTGCTGAATACGCTGGACGAGAAGAACTCGCCAGCGTTGGGAAGTCCTTTCGGGCGCTCACACAAGCCGCAAGCCAGATGTAAAAGCGCGGCGATCACGAGAAGTGTTCGTAGCTGCATTCTACCAGCCGCTTGATGACTACGACGCTCGTAAACTGCATTTAGGCACATGCTATGTCCATCGCGCAAAAACAGAGTAGTCACGTGACTTTCGATTACGCGAAGCTATTTCGGTGAACGAGATAAACTCAGAAGCGCCACGGCCAGGCAGTCTTGAATGATATGCAGGATAGGCGTGGTGCGGTTGCATAATGCAGCGCTTTCATTAAGAAAAAAAAACCATAAAAACGATTTCACGCAGTTAACCCTGTACGGTGACACCATTTTTGCCGCGAAGGGATAATGAGCAACAATGAAGAAAGGCAGGCTTTAGACTACAATCTGCTGTCTGTGCCGATGACAGTACATTCTGCAAGTGTTGAGCAATGTGAAAAAACGAGCCATCGTGATAAACGCTGGGGCTGTGCTTATCGCATGCCTTTCTTCCAGTCAGGCTCTGGAAAAAATCACAACCTTCGGTTCAGAAATTCGTCACTGTCGGGTTGGCAGGCAACGGATCACACAAAGTAAGCATAACAAGTTGTTCTGAAATTATAGTGCCAATTATGCTTACTGACGCAGTGCCTAAGTAATGAAGTAGGACAACACTTACGGCACGAAAGAAACAAAAGCACCTGATGTTTCCCTAACCTGGCTTTTCAGGCAATTTTGTCAGGGATTATCATCGTAGTGTCGGCGACAATGAACAAAGTTTTATCGAGTTTTTCATGTAGTTTCACCTTAGCAAAAGAAGGAATGTGACGTCACCGCAACTTGTGTTTGTGACTTGATTAATCGCGCTGACAGCCAACAGACGTAGTATTGACTATGACTGCATGACTGCCACAAACGAAAAGTCACTACCCTTATCCAGTTGAAAGCGATATGCGGTTTTCACTTTTTGGCCACTTTTCTCTTATAACTTCTTTATCGATGCTACCCTCCTCTCAGGCCTATCGGCGCTGGGTGGTTATCCAAAATATTCATATCAGCAGAAAACAGTGCGATAGAACGAGGACAAGAAATACTGATTGATTGATATGTGGGGTTTAACGTCCCACAACCACCATATGATTATGAGAGTCGCCGTAGTGGAGGGCTCCGGAAATCTCGACCACCTGGGGTTCTTTAACGTGCACCCAAATCTGAGCACACGAGCCTAGAACATTTCCGTCTCCATCGGAAATGCAGCCGCCGCAGCCGGGCTTCGATCCCACGACCTGCGGGCCAGCAGCCGAGTACCTTATCCACTAGACCACCGCGGCAGGGCAAGACAAGAAACACTAAACATTGATTGATTGATTTGTGTGGTTTAACGTCCCAAAACCACCATATGATTATGAGAGACGCCGTAGCGGAGGACTCCGGAAATTTTGACCACCTGGGGTTCTTTAACGTGCACCCAAATCTGAGCACACGGGCCTACGACATTTCCGCCTCCATCGGAAATGCAGCCGCCGCAGCCGGGCTTCGATCCCACGACCTGCGGGCCAGCAGCCGAGTACCTTATCCACTAGACCACCGCGGCAGGGCAAGACAAGAAACACTAAACATTGATTGATTGATTTGTGTGGTTTAACGTCCCAAAACCACCATATGATTATGAGAGACGCCGTAGCGGAGGACTCCGGAAATTTTGACCACCTGGGGTTCTTTAACGTGCACCCAAATCTGAGCACACGGGCCTACGACATTTCCGCCTCCATCGGAAATGCAGCCGCCGCAGCCGGGATTTGAACCCGCGACCTGCGGGTCAGCAGCCGAGTACCTTAGCCACTAGACCACCGCGGCGGGGCAAGAAACACTAAACATGGCAAGCGTTGACTGCGACAGGACAAGGTCTCTCTTGACTTCACTGAATCGGGCTGTTTTCTGCTATAAATATACACCAACAAGGTCTAGTTCACACGATAATAAAGACTAGCAGACAGTGGCTCGGAGTCAAAATCAGTCGAGTTTTTAAATTTTGTTGAGTTTTATTGTGCTTCCAGTTGCATTACACGAGCCTGGTGTCGCTTTTGGTGAGTGGTTATCGCTCCAGCACTTATTTAAAACTTCCTTGGTCGATATGAATGCGCTTGCTCTAAACACTTCAGATAAAATATTCACCAGGTGTTTATAGAGCAAGCGTGCAGAATCTTGACCGCAGTTATCAGGTGTCCACGACGCCAGCGCATCATCTGCGACTTTGTTCCCATCGCAGTTGATAGCATGGGCACAGTGACGGCAAGGACCAGATATAGGCGGACCAAGTTCTTATCGTGGTCTGGCGCACTCAATCCGTTAAATTGGTTTTTGCTAGGCCTTTTCAGCACAGTGTAGTTTACAGAGGTTCTCATCTCATTATTTTACCACGGCGCTATCCTGCGCTGCACAAACGACGAACAAGAAGCAGAACAGTGAACAGCGCCATGGTTTGGCAGGCCTAACCTCGCTCAACTAGGAGTTGAGGTTTCGCTTACGTAACCTGACTGGAGCGACGAACATTCTCCATTCGCAGTTTAAGCGGACCTCCTCCGCAATACTTCTTTTTCTTGCGGATGACGCGTGCCAACGCACAGAAACGGTGTGCGTCATCCCAATTACGTGAAAAGTGCGCGGAGTACGACGACCCGAAATGACCGTTTCGCCCAGACCAGCCGGGATTGAAAAAAGAAAAAGCGTTGGCAATGCAAGCGATGCAACCAGCCAACCTTGTAACACAAGTTCAACGCAGTCATTTAACGCGATTGTTTTTCCCGGCGCTTATCAAAAGAATTTTCGTTGTTGCCCGAAAAACGAATGAAGAAACGCTAACTTTCACTACAATGGCTTCGCTGTGCCCGCGCACCACATACGCCTCCTCGCTCAACAATAGGCGCTTTTGCTCCAGCCAAGTTACAGAAACTATTTATGGCATTGAGGAGCCAGCCAAGGCGACGGGGGGTGGCAGTAGTGAAGCGAGAAATAAAAAAGATGAGCAGAGACAATGCAGGGCTCTGCCGGCCGGCTCTAACTCCCGGGCCCCGGAACACACGGCCGAATGGGCAGCAAGCCGCTGAATACTGAAGTAAACCTAGAAAAAAGCTCGGGGCACCGCAAAACAAAAGCCTGCGAGAAACGAGGACTCGGGGGCACACAGACGCTCCGGGCAGCCGACGCCAGATAGCCAACTTATCAGCGAGCCCAGGCGAACAACATGTACTGCGCCGCACGTCAGGTTCCCAGCCGCCGAGAAGGTTTGAGGGGGGCCTCCGCCGTTTTTTCGGTTCTTTGTTTCTCTTTTTCTTTTGCGAAGCTCGGCACTGAGAGCAAAATAGAAGCGAAGCGCCGCGCGCACGAAGGTTGCGCTGAAAGCGCGCTGAACAGCTGCGCTTTCATTGGCTGACGCCGAAAAGACAAAAGAGGCGTAAAAAGGAAGAGCAAGAGGGATAGATACAGGTAGAAACGACATGACCTCGGAGCGCTGCGAAGAAGAACGAAAGAGGGACGCCAGAAACAAAACATAAAGCAAAGAATAAAGAAAGATGAAGAAGGAGAAGGAGAAACAATGCGAACGCCTTGTTTCGGGAGAGGCAGCAGTGATTTCTCTGTGCCGCGGCGTGGTTACTACAAGGAAAGCATACGGAACCGAAAATAAGCATAGCGGGAGTTTGCTCAATGGGGATGTTGCACAGTTATCAATTCGCTCCTGAAAGTGGAGGGGGAGCGTGGTTAAACATACGCCCAGACATCCTCTTCCATGTTTGGTGTTAGTTATATACCATTGATTAGCTACCTACACATCGCAGCATCGTTGTGGGATAAGCGTCGGGAACGGGTTGTGCGTGCGTGGTGGTGTCAATCTAAAGACGCTCTTTTAACACACCATGGGACATGCTGCTCTAGAATTGTTTTTTTTTTTTTCTTCAATTGCAAGTTTAGAAAAAAAAAGAACGTGACTTGCGAATTTCAGCCTTCCTTTATAAATGTTACTATTCTTATGCATGTCAATATAGATGAGGGTGCATTAACCTGCTGATCTCCTTGACCTGAAGTTCCTTGAGAGTATCGCACTTGATAATATGTGTTTATGACTGATAATATTGGACTATGAATATGACTAGCAATATTTGACAAGGACTGTGCAACGAAGCAGTCACAGGCACATGGGCACCATTCATGATGCACCGAAAGGGTCGCGGGTCGTGAGAGTACAGGCAAGCAATCGCACTAAGCCAGCTATGGGCGCCCTTCTTTGTGACACAGCTCAGGCCACTGACGCTCCAACACGTATAATGACGACAGAGAGGCCACAGACACCGACTAAAGAGGATAAAAGAAGGAAATAGAACGCCAAATAAAAGCACGTGTTGACTACTCAGACAAACCAGAACAGTAGAGTAACAGAATGACTGACCACCGGACGAGAAAAGACAAACCAGAACGGGCGTAATCCAGACGTTGTCGTCGAGAACCTAATTCTAGCCAAGACGAAAGAGGGGCGGCTTGCAGTGGCCCGTTACAAGCCAGCGGGTCAAAAAACGGCAAAAGTAAACAGCCTGAATGGCCCTTCCTAGAAAAAGCTAGCGGCAATGGCAAAATGAGTGTCACGGCGCGGGTCGCGTGAAAACGTCGCCGTGAGGCAGGCCGCCGCGGATACGTGACGCATCGGGGCGCAGGCCGACGACGTGTATACCCCGCGTACTCTGTCTCACTCCGCTATGGTCGTCGTCGGCATGCGAGACACACAAAAGCCGTCGCGCTCGCTGAGCGGCAAAGGGTAGAGACTACAATAACCGGCAGCGCACACTAATGCTGAGAAACGCCGCAGGGACCGCACGGGGCTAGCCGGAGGCATGATTAAAGGTATCCGTCACATCCGTTTCCCGGCGAACCACGGCTGCAGCCCCAAGCGAGACAATGCGGGAGAAAGAAGGCGGAAAGGGAGAGGGGGATGCTGGTCGTGGATGGCGAAGCCTCTCATCGGGCGTCTGAGTCACGTCTCTACTGGCGGCACGGTGAGGTACGACGTCGGATCGGGAGCGCCGCCCGGCAGCCTTTTTCTTTCTCTTCCATCCGGTTGCGCTTTGT